AAGGCAGCATGGCATGGGCCGAGCGGTCATAAGCTCAGACGAGTGTTAATCAGCCTTGGAAATGAGGGAAACCTTGTTGTCTGAGAAGCAAGGCAAAGACTGGGCCCAGCTCAGAGCGGGCTGGTCAGCAGGAGGGCTAGGGAGGCTAAGGCAGCGTCTGGGCTCCCTCTGCCGCGCGCCCCGCCCCGCCCCGCCCCGCCCCGCCCCGGCGGGGTGCATTCTCAGCCAGTTCCCTGTCCCGGGAACCTTTCCTGTGCTCTCCTTTCCTGCCTCTCTTGCTCTGCAGAGCTGCGTGGAGAGCACTCACTCAATAAATATTTGTTAAAGGGACGTGAAATGGAGAATAAAATGGAATCGCTATTCCTCCTATTAAACTTCCCTTTCCCCTGTACACCTGCGGTCCCTGCCTTTGGCAGAGAATGGGGCTGGGGGTGGGGGAGGGGGTCATGACGCGGAAAGGAGCGCCTCGGGCCTCCTGCCTCGGGCTCCGGGGGCTGGGATTGAGTCCGCGGGCGGGAAGAGAGGGCGGGTTTGTGCGGAGCCGAGCTGCAGCCAGAGAAGCAGATGCCGCAGGGAAGAGGGGAGGGAAGTGGTTTTCCTTGAGCACATTTGGCTCCTCCCTTTACACGTTCTCTTCCGGCCTCTCCTAGGGCGGCCTTATCGCACCATCCTCCTGGTCTGCACGTTTTCAGAAAAAGTCGCCCTTTTTCTTTTTTTTTTTTCGGTTCAACGGATATTGCCACACTTGTTGGGGTCAAAATCAATATTCTAACTATTACAGGCTCCAAAAAAAAAAAAAAAAATCACTTTGCCGAAACCCGGGATCGAACCAGGGACCTTTAGATCTTCAGTCTAACGCTCTCCCAACTGAGCTATTTCGGCTCCGCCCACTCGGCCCTCTTCTAAGACAGATGACTTTATTACTGGAGTCTTTCTCTACGTATTCAGCGAGCTGAAGCGTGTTGAGGAAACCAAAGATAAAGGAACGGTTTCGTGTCGGATCCCTCCGCGATCTGCGAGGAGGGGCACGGAAGACAGTCCAGGTAGCTACCATGAAGACCGCCCTAAGGACTGGTTTAGCTCCGCCATGAACCCCGGGCGGGGTCCACATGCCCCTCGTCCCCTCTGCGGGTGGGGTCCACACGCCCCTCGTCCCCCCTGAGGATAGAGTCCACACGCCCCTCGTCCTCCCGAGGGTGGGGTCCACACGCGCCCCGTCCCCCCTGCGGGTGGGGTTCACATAATCATCCCCCCCCCCCCCCACGCGCGCCCCCGCGCAGGTATAGACCCCGAGGTCGAGGTCGCGCAGCGGCTCACAGGCCGGAGGCAGGTGCATCCAGCCTGTAGGGTTGTTCGGCGCCTTTCTCAACACCGTCCCTGGTGGTCTAGTGGTTAGGATTCGGCGCTCTCACCGCCGCGGCCCGGGTTCGATTCCCGGTCAGGGAAAGTGACTTTTTCTTCTGCCCGCGCCGGCCGGCAGGAGCAAATACACTTGGCATTAAATTCTACAAGAACTAACTTTTCATTTTCACGTGAGGCATCTTTGCAACCCTCCACAAGTGTTGGTGTTGCACGTGCAAAATGACAACGTAACTCTGTGGTGTAAACAAAACGAGAGAACGCTCACCCGGCTGCACTGCCAGCGCCGCGCGGTTCCCAGAGTCCCGCGGCCCCGACCCCACGGGAGGGCTCCGGAGCCGGGAAGTTCGGAGGGAAGCGGTCACCTGCGGGGCTCTTTGGAACGAGCTGAGCACCTGGAGCACGGGTAGGAGGCCGGGAGGGGCCTGGAAGTCACCAGGCGGGGGTGTCCCGCCACCCCCTCGAGCGCCCAGGACTGCGGCGGCTGATGCAAGCAGGGTCGCCCCGGACAAGCCTTCCTGGCAGCCCGTCCTGCCTCTCCCTGCCACTCGGGACACCCAGCCCTGCCGTGGCTCTGACCCCTGGACGCCCTGTGCCTCTGGACGCCCTGTGGCCCCCTGGACGCCTCCCCCCCCCCGTCCGCCCTGTCCCCCGCCGCGGCCCTGCCCCCCGGGACACCCTGTCCCCCTGGACGCCCTGTTCCCCGGGACGTCGGTGGCAACAGCTGCCCGAGGAACTGCCGGGACGGACGCACGAGGGGTCGCCGCGTCCCTGAACGCACACCTGGGGAAGCTGACGGTGAAGTCCCGTCTGTCCCGCTGGGGCACCAGTCTTCTTACTCGGCTCGTCTAGATCGCAGCCACGTTGTAGTGCTTGTTTCCTCCTCATTTCTCGAGTTCCATGCACCGTGACCTCTCTGCTGCCACACGAGGTCGTGGTGCCCCTGATCTCACTGTACCAACAGGTGGGGACACGATGTTTTAATGATCATGTTAAATGAAGCAGTTCTCTTTTTGTGATTAGTTTCACATTCCCGCTCCTTCCCCTCTATATAAAGTCATGAGTTCCCCAAACCTCTGTGAGCTGGGGCAGTCCTTTGTCATCCTGCCAATACCTCCCTCAGTTAATAAAGTTTGACACATATGTAAGATTAAGTTGTCCAATAAGTTTGTCTACCACAGACCTGGGCACTATGCTTGGCACTGATTATATATACAAAACCAAAACCCACAGGTAGCAGTCTGGAGAGCAAACGGAAGCTACTGTGCTAAGATACAGATTAGGGAAATTTTTTTCTCCATGGAGAAAAAGTAACAGCTTATAACAGGAGAAAAACCATATAGCTTTCAAAGAAGAGTCCCTTGTCCCTAATCTAATTAGCTTTATGTGGAAAAGTAAAAAAAAAAAAAAAGACATTAAGCACATTCAGGGCTCCCGCCCAGACTGCTCCCTAAAAATAAATATAAAAAGAAATGAAGCAAAGATTGTTGCTATATATAGAGAAGACAAAATATGACAACGTGAAAAGATTGCTCAGGAAGCAATTACCTTCTGGCCTAGAGGGCTGATTTCCTGTGAAACATTAGGCAGAAAGACACAGAATAGCCTCGTATATTATATACTGGAAGCTGACAAACTATACTTTTTTATTTCTAACCATATATATATATATATATATATATATATATATATATATATTTTTTTTTTTTTTTAATTTTACATCCAAGTTAGTTAGCATATAGTGCAATGATGATTTCAGGAGTAGAATGCAGTGATTCATCCCCTACATACAACACCCAATGCTCCTCCCAACAAGTGACCTCCTTAATGCCCTTTACTCATTTAGCCCACCCCTCACCCACAATCCCTCCAGCAACCCTCAGAGAACAATACAGAGGTTGTTCTCTGTATTTAAGAGTCTCATGTTTTGTCCCCCTCCCTGCAAACTATTCTCTGTAGCTAGCAGTCAATACTTGCTGAATGACTGGGTAGCCTGTCGTTGTCCACTTGTTGATATAGCCTCTCTCAGCTTACTTCATCCTTTTGTTTTCCCCGCTGAGTTCATCATGCAGGAATGCAAACACTAGAGAGAGAAATCAGTTTTTGGATGGATCAAGGTGAAGTTGGTGAAGCACTGAATCAATGAACATGTAGCAGGATGGTATTCTTGCTCTGTGTCTCTAAGCATTAAATATGGTCACAAAGTGGTGGGTCTCTACCAAGCTCTGGCCATCGTGTCAGGAGATCCAGAACGCATGGGAGTACACAGTCCTGATGGTGGAGAGGACACTGCTGTCGTGGCGAGGGATTCAGGGAGCACTGGGCAGGGAGCCCAGGTGAGGGCAGCAGACACCACAGGTGAGGAAGGGGGCTCGCAGCTTGGGATACATCGTGGGACTAGGGAAAGCGAGGCTTTAGCTCGGAGGGTGACTATGTTGCTTCTGCTCTCTTGATAATCTTTTTTCTTAGTCATTTTCCTGAAGAAGTTTTGCAGGTAATTACTACAGTATTGCAACTAAGGATGAGGACATACTAGTGAATCACTTTGTGACATACATTTGTTTGTTGAAGCCACACTAACACTTCATTGATCAATCACCCACCTGCCCTCCCTCTCCCACCTGCTTCCCAAGGGAAATCCTCAGCCTCCTTCCACAGTCACTGGCTGTTTCATGCGCCGCCTTCTCTCCATTCAAAGGAGAAAGGAAGAGGGACAAACATGACCCAGCCCCATCGATGGGATGGCACCCCCGCACCGGGTGGGGCTCTCTGGGCAAATTGTGACTCTGAGTTGTGATCCCCCGGTTGTTTACAAAATGGAGAGGAGACAGAGAACGCAAGGAGCGGGATGTGAACGTACCTAACGCCACTGAGCTCTACCCTTATAAACGGTAAAAATGCTCAGTTGTGCGTGATGTGTTTTTAACCACAACTTAAAACAAGACACCCCGTGCCTGGCTGGGAGTATGGGGCTCCTGAGTCTGGCCGGAGAGGGTCCTGTCATCCGCAGTGTGAATATTCCGCCATCTGGAATATTCTATTCCTGTCCAGGTGGATACACGTTGTCAAGGACAGTAGGTGTGGGCGCTGTCGCACCTGGGAAGGCTGCTAGGACTCTGTCAGCAGGTTATCAGGCCAACATTTCCAAGGGGCGTCATTGCTGCACAAGTCAACCTCAGCGCCTTACACCTGCCTGGTCGTACCCGAGTCTACGCAGGTCTCTCTCAAGGATGACGGTCCAGCCAAACCCCGGTAAAATAACTAGTGTTTCCAGGGGTGCCCTGGGGCTCCTGTGGGGGAGGTGAAGTGTGCCCGCCACGCTTATTTGGGAGATGCTCCAGCTTGACCCTGTAAGGCGCAGCTGGTGACCTCTGTAGGAGGCGGAGGCCGTGTGAACAGAGGAGAGCCGTGGATGCTGACCTCGGAGGATGGGGGGATGTGGCCACAACCAGGGTCCGGCAGCCACCAGGGGACTGGCGCCACCCCCTCCGCCAGAGCCTGCGCGCGAGGACATCACAGCTCTGCCCCCAGGACCGCGGGAGTACGCGCATCCCCTCCAGCGCTTGTCCCGCGAGACCACGCGCGTTAGCGCGAGAGCACAAGCATCCCCGCGAGAGCACGCGCGTCTGCGGCTTCCGGCAGTGACGGGAGCCGCGGGAACGTGCGGTGGGTTCCAGGAACAAGTGTGGGAAATGGTATCAAAGGCTAGGCTTCCTTGGAATGTCCGCAAACACACTCCGTGAAAGTTTTGAAGATGAAAGGCAGATCAAACAGAAACTGCAGCTGCTAACTTTACTGCGACCTTATTTCTGACATAAAATGCCCTCAGCGTATTCTCACGTATGGACCAAACTGCCTTCGTTAAAGGTGCGGGTCATGGCAGCCCCGCGCCTGCGCAGAGCAGACGCGGCGCAGCTCAGCAGCCGATCTGCTCTGTGACGACACAGAGACTGCTACGCCACCGCCGCCCGGCTCCTCAGGGACTGCCTGGTCCCCGCCCGCAGTGAGGGAGGCGGGCTGCCGGTCAGAGGGCGGAGGCCTAGCGAGGTGGAAGTCTCCGGCGACTGCTGTTCACGCCTCTAGGGGGCCGGGAGGGAACATCTACGCCGGAAGTGGTAGCGTGGCCGAGCGGTCTAAGGCGCTGGATTAAGGCTCCAGTCTCTTCGGGGGCGTGGGTTCGAATCCCACCGCTGCCAGGGCTTCTTTTTCTTTCTTCACGCTCAGTGTGGACCGTTCCCACATCCTGAGTCAGGCCCCTTTTTCTCCTCCTTTGACTCGTGTTTACTCCGGATACAGCCGCGGCCCGGCCAGGAGGTGCTTTTGTTCTCGCGGTCCTCCGTACGAACGAAGGACCGTACGACAGACTCCGGCATCCCTTTGTACCTCGAGGCACATCCTCCGACGCCTGTGAAGGAATAAGAGGTGTCCAGAATGGCCCCGGATCTTCCTGAGGCCCCGGCAGCGGCCTGTCTCGTGTCTGGAACCCTGTGCAGATCCGACAAAAGACCCCCCGCGGAGGGGGTACTGGTCCCATGACTGCGGACACACCCGCCAGCGACAGGTGTGTCCCAGCGCCGGGTGCCTCCCAGCTCCAGGTGCTCCCCAGCGCCAGGTGCCCCCTAGCGTCCGGTGCGTCCCAGCGTCGGGTACTGTCCAGCGTCGGGTGCTCCCTAGTGGCGAGTACCCCGCAGCCGCAGGTGCCCCCCAGCGTCAGGTACCCCCAGTGCCGGGTGCCCCCATCGCCGAGTGCCCCCCTGCGGCGGGTGCCATCCAGCGTCGAGTGCTACTTCTAGAGGCGATCCCCTCCCCTCTGCGTGCTTTTCTGCTTCTGCTCAGCTGCGCCGCACGTCGCCGCCGCTTGGGGGCTCCCTGCTCTGAGCAGATCTTATGCACACAGGCCTCTTTTTCATCTTCTAGTCCTTAGTGTGGAAGCTGTTTTCTCCTGGATGCCTTCTCTGGCCTCCCTCTGCCTCCTATCAGCTACAGGGTTAGTATTAGGGAGGGGATATGGAGAAGAGCTCAGAGAACCTCCGCCTCCACCATGAAGCTTAGAGTCCAGTGGGGTTCACAAGCATTACATAAGTTATTATGAAAATATGGTAACATGTCTACCTAAAAAGAGAGTTCGCATGTGGACTTTGAAGTTCTGGATTTAGGACAACAGAGAAGTTAGAGAATAGCAGGGGCTCAGGCTGGATGGAAGGACACACACCACACTGTTCACCAGACTCTCCGTTTCTGGGTGCATTGTATCTGTACCGATTTCACTCCCCAGCAACCAATTCTCCGATTTTCTGCAGACACCCATAAGGCCCACAAGACTGTACCCTGCTTTAGATGCCATTTGCAGGTCCCAGACCTCCCTTCTAGCTGACTGACCAGCTACAAATCAGGGGTTCCCGAGACTCCCTCCTCAGGTTTGATAATTTGCTCAAATGGCTCAGAACTCAGGCCCACATCTGACTTTCATTTACTGGTTTATTATAAACAACTATAAGTCAGAAACAGCCAAGTGGAAGAGATGCACAGGGCAAGGTGGGCACGGGGTGGGGGGATCCGGAGCTGCCCTGCCCTTGCCAGGTGGGGCACTTCCCAGCACCTCCAGGCCTTCATCAGCTGGGAAGCGCTCCTAATTCTGTCATTTAGGAGTTTTTATGAAGGTTTCATCATGTAGGGATGATGGATTATAATCCCTAGCCCCTCTCCCCTCCCGGAAAGCTTGGGGATGGGGGTTGGGGCTGAAAGTTCTAGGCTTCTAACTATGGCTTGGTCTTTCTAGCGACTAGTCCCATTCTGAAACCTACCAACACGGCCATGTTAGAACAAAAGAGGCTCCTGGCACCCAGGAAATTCCAAGGGACTTAGGAGCTATGTCAGGAAATGGGGACAAAGACCAACTATATACTTCTTATTATCCCCCAGAGCAGTAACTGCCCTTTCTCCTGGACTGTCTTTCAAGGATACTCATATAAAGAACGGCCTGGGAAGACAGAGATAGTGTCTCCATCTGGTGCAAAGGATAGACGTTCATACTGAGCTCCCTGTGCTCAGGGTGGCTACCCACTGTGTGTGCAGGCATTCATCTCAGCCCATCTGAGTCACCCCTGTGGGAGCTGGTGCTTGAGGAATGTGTAGAGGCTGAGAGCCTGGCTCTTGCTGTTACGGTGAGAAATAAAATGTCCTTTGCCTCTGTAGGGTGGTAGAATAATTCTTTGCCATGAGAATTATTTTGAGCTAAAGGCACTTACAAATACAGCTGCAAGAAGGGTGTTCTGACCCTCTCTTTTTTCTTCTGGAAAGGAGATAAAACCCGTATGTGGAAGATGTCTACCTTATATCCCAACACAAAAGTAGCATTCTTATCATGGAGGGCAGGAGGCTGAAGTTGAGAGAATTCTGCACAGACCTCCTTAAAATAATTTTTCCTTTAGCCTCACCTATTTTAGTTTCCTTTCCACAATTGCTTCTCTGTTCAACCTAATGTAAAGGCATTTCAGTTTTGCCACTGGTTTGATATTCGTTTCCTTAGGAGGGTTCATGTGTTGTGTAAAATTTACATGAGGTCAGTTTGTGTGTTTTTGTCTTGTTCCTGCCCTATGTCGGGCCAGGTAAGGGTCCTGAGAGAGTGGAGGTAGAGTTTTGCCCAGCTTACATCTCTTACATCTCTTGTGCTCCGCCAGCACCCTTGATGCTCCGACAGGCTAATCTGTGTCTTTATCAGACTTGATAGATGCATGTTGTCAACCGGCAGAGAAAAGAGAAATTAGTGCTTTCACTTTTACATGGTAGTGTTTAGATTGTACCACATAAGTACAAGCTGCAGTTCACGTCCAGGGATTACAGTTCTGCAAAAGGACCCAGATGTGAGGAGTACATCACGGGTCAGCCAAACAGTCATCATCCTCCTATTGCTGTTTCCATCCTTGTCCTTTTAAACACTGGTCTTTTCTTCCTGCTTTGGAATTTGTGCACCTATCCCACAGCTGATTTCTGTCTTCCTTCCTCTCTGTACTGTGCACTTTCTCCTACTGAAACAGGTATGAAATGATGATGCCATTGATGAGATACCTGATATTTGCCATCTCGTGCAATTTGATCATGCTGGATTTGTTAGTTACCTTATGTTTTCACTTGATTCGTTTCCTGCCACTATTGGATATTTCCCCCTAATTCTTCAAAATAACAGTGACACTCCTAAATACTCTTTCCCAAGTAGCCAGTGCATCAGTTATTATTTTTTCCTGGAGATCTTTCTCTCAGCCTTCTCTGCCTCGCTGATCTGGATCGGCTGCTGCCGGGGTCAGTGGTTTGCCTTGGCTGCTTCCTTTTGCAAGTTTGCTTTTTGGATATTTATTTATTTGATTGATTGATTTATTTTATTGATTTTTTTGGGTGGAGTGTATGATAAAATAAGCATGTGAGGTAAAGTTTTTGAGACCTTTCCTGTCTTTAAGATACCTATTTTACCTACTAGTGGGTTAATCCTTTTTTTTTTTTTAATTTTTTTTTTTTAACGTTTATTTATTTCTTTGGGACAGAGAGAGACAGAGCATGAACGGGGGAGGGGCAGAGAGAGAGGGAGACACAGAATCAGAAACAGGCTCCAGGCTCTGAGCCATCAGCCCAGAGCCCGACGCGGGGCTCGAACTCCCGGACCGCGAGATCGTGACCTGGCTGAAGTCGGACGCCCAACCGACTGCGCCACCCAGGTGCCCCAAACCTTTGAGTATAGAAACTGAAGTTAAAAACATGTTCCATTAGGATTTTGAAGGCATTGCTCTATTGTTTGTCTTCAAGTGCTATTCTTGTTTATTCCCCAGCTAATTTATTTTCTTCTCCTTTGTATTTGACTTTTTTTTTTTTCCTGCCTGAAAACTCTGGAAGTCTTTCTTTTATGCACAGGATTTTGTGATTTCTCATTGGTGTGTTTGGTGTAGATGTTTTGCTGTTCATTGAATTGTGTGCTAGGCAGGGCTTTCTCTCTAGGAACTAATTTTCTTACGTGATTATGTTGATAATTTCCTGTCTGTTTTTATTGTTCTTTTGGAACTTCTACTAACTGGGATCCCCAGACTGCTCCTCTAGGGTTTTTTGCTTTCTTTTTATTATATTTTATACATTACAAAAGATATCCAAGTATAAAAATTTTGAAGTGCAATATTAAAATGAGCACTTTTGAACTTGTCACTCAAAATCTAGAATTGTACCATCCAACATAGTATCAACTGGCCACCTATGGCTATGGAGCACTTCAAATGTGGCTAGTGTGACTGAGGAACTGAATTTTTAATTCTAACTATTTAAAAGTTAAATTTAAAAGACAATTCTGCATTCTGTTATTGGAAAACTTTTAAGTATGTTTGGGACAACTTGGCTTTGTGAATTTATTTCTCAACTGTAAGTTTTAGGAATGCGAGCACAGATCTGCCACCTTGTCTCTGTCGGACCGGCCCGGGCTAGAACATTACTAAGATGTTCACACCAACTATGAACCTCTCTCTTACCCTATCACTGATTCCTTTTGTCACTGACTCCTTATCATTCCTTTACTTAAACAAATAATCTACACTTATGAATAGATCACTAATCAGAGTATTATTTTGTTTTCGAACCTTGTGAAAATGGTACCAAACTGCATGTTGTCTTTATGGGACTTGCCTTTCCCGTTCGACAAGAATGTCCGCTTTCTACCCATGTTCGTGGGCACGTTCACCTCTGTGACATACTCATTATTTAAATCTGGCAACGTTTGTTTTCCTACTTACTGTTGGTGAACACTGGGTTGCTCCTGGGGTTTTGCTACGATGAGCAGATGTGCTGTGAAGATCCTTGCACGTGGCTCTCGGTGCGTACGCGCAGGACCCTCTCAGGGGGCATTCCTAGGAATGGAACCACAGAGTTGTAGGGCATGGTTCAGCTTTACAGGAGAGCCTGCTTGTTTCCCAGTGTGCCTGCATCAGCTTTCAGCGCGGCCAGTGAGTACCACAACTCCGCGTCCTTGCCAAAACTTGGTCAGGTCCGTTTTCTCTTTCTCAACCTAGCGGAGTTTCACAGCCGTCACTGTGCTCAGAGTCCCTGGTTACGAGACTGTACACCCTTTGTGTGTGGTCATCACTCTGTTTCCTGTGACATACTTCTTCGTGCCTTCTGCCTGTTTTGAGGTTGTCTTTTGCTTATTGGTTTAAAGGAGTTTTTATATAAGGTCAAACCATATTAAACTGCCACTATTCAACCTCTAAATATGGCAGTTCATGTGACTAACCCTAAAATATTTTGGATGACAATTATTTGCCCAAGTATGTGAGTTCAAAATGTTTTTTCAATTTATGAGAAAATTGTACTTTCCTTTTCTTTATGGTGAATTTGATGAAAGAAATTCATTTTAATCTAGTTGAATTTATCAGAAATTTTTCTTTAATTAAGTCTTTAAAAAAAATTTTTTTTTTCAACGTTTATTTATTTTGGGGACAGAGAGAGACAGAGCATGAACGGGGGAGGGGCAGAGAGAGAGGGAGACACAGAATCGGAAACAGGCTCCAGGCTCTGAGCCATCAGCCCAGAGCCTGACGCGGGGCTCGAACTCCTGGACTGTGAGATCGTGACCTGGCTGAAGTCGGACACTTAACCGACTACGCCACCCAGGCGCCCCAGAAATTTTTCTTTAAAAGTAACCTTTTTGGTGTCTTGTTTGAGAAATCTTTTCTTGACCTGAGGGTATACAAATATTATCCAAAATTTACTCATAAAAGGATAAAAATTGGCCTTTCATAAGGCAAATTCTTGGCTAAGGATTACATTGCAATATAAATTATAGAATCAGTTTGCCATTTTCCACAAAAATGCACTCTTGGGATTTTTATTTAGGTTGCAGTGAATGTATTGATCAATTTTGGGAACTGACATTTTAATAACACCGAGTCTTCCAATGCATGAACAAGTATAGTCTTGGCCAAGAACAGTCAAATCAGTCTTGAAGAAAAAGAAATAGGACTTCATCTACCAGATGAAAAGATATTATAAAGCTGTGGTAATTAACCAGTTTGGCATTGGTGTAAGGATAGGCAGTCGACCAATGGAACAGAAGGGGAGGCTAAGACTTCCAGACCCTAACCCTCCCAAACCCCTCTTCAGTGTGACTGTGTCTTCCTAGAATTCTGCTAGGGTCCTGCCACCTGCTTGAAAGATCCTTTGCTGACTCTCAGTCCCGCAGTGAGAAACCTCGCTTCCCGGCTTGAACTCCAGGAATCTTTTGAGGTTTCTTGAACATTTAAAAATAAACTTCGTGAGAAAGCACTAAAGAAATTTCAGGTATTTTGTCTGGTGGAAAAAGAAGTGTTTGATTTGTCTTGAAAATTTTGAAAGAGTATCTTGTGAGAAGTGGGTTAATATTGCTCTGTAATGATCCCAGGGCATCGAACTGCACCCACACGTAGAAGCTACAGAAAGAGGGGGTGCCTGGGAGTACGCTCAGTTGACTGAACATCTGACTCTTGATTTTCACTCAGGTCGTGATCCCAGGGTTGTGGGAATGAGCCCCATGTCAATGTGGAACCTGTTTAAGATTCTCACTCTCTCTAAAAAAAAAAAAAAAAAAAAAAGAAGCTACAGAAAGACATTTCTGTACATGGGTGATTTTAAATCTGAAACCTGTATCTTACTCCTTTTGAAAAATGAGTGAAGTGGGCATTCTCTACTTCCTTTGTGAAGGTCAAGTGAAACAATCTCGTTATATCAATGTTTAGTGTGAAATTTTTCTCAGATTTTGCATTTAGAATGTAATTAGGTTAAAAAACTATTACCTGGTGAGTTTTTAAGTAAATTATAACTAAATCAATAACTCTAGTTTTGGTAACTCCTCAGAATTAGTTACAAGAATCTTAGGGTTTTAACACTAACATGTTTTGTTATTCAACTATGCTGCTCACCTTTGAATTCCTTCCACGTCATTCAGGCCAAACCTACTACCTTATGGCAGACCTCTTTTAAATGTACAGACTTTTCCCAAAGGTAAAATATCTGAACTTTCTTCAGTGTTTCTTCACTATATTCATTTTAATGCTCAGGAAACACCAGGAGATTCCTGGAGTTTAAGCCAGTAATGGGAGCTTCTCACTGCAGGACTGAGAGTCTTTCTAGCAGGTGTCAGGATCGTAGCGGAATTCTAGGAAAACATAGTCATGTTGAAGATGGATGGGTGAGGGAGAGTCTAGAAGGCTTCTATTTGGGCTCATCAATACAGAGTCCTCTGAATTCTCACAACAGATTGTCAGGCTGGCCATGCCCTGTGGTTAACTGGTGTCTGAAATGTAGCTCTCTAGTCAACAACACAAAACGTCCACGCTCGAGGACGGTCCAGAACTTAAACGGGATTTGTCCTGTTGCCAGATTCTGTTAAAACTCATTGGAGAAGGGAGATGAAGGATTGCCCTGTCAGGTTCTCAAGTTGGGCTGAGGACTTTGAGCCCCAAATCCCAATATACACCGTAGCGTGTGGGTGCAGAAATAAATGTTATGAACATGTATATGCATTTTCCAAGAGCAGGTACCTGCTGTGAAAAACAAAACCTCAGATTTTCCAGGAAAGCATGATATTTTGCCATCGAGCATTAAAGTACAACATGTGTGCACATGTGGGGGAGAGTGCTGCTGGTATTTGTTGACCATCAAACAAACGGTCCTCAGACTCAAAAAAATTATTGGAAAACCACTGCCAGTACTCCAGACATACCGTGAATTCTGTCCTTAGGTCATGTTTTCTCACCCAGAAGCCACGTATCCAGAATTTTCTCCTCCATAGAGACAATGTCATTGAGTTATGTCATTGAGTTATGACATTGAGTTATGTCATTGGCTTTCACTAATAAACTATGTAAGAAATGGCCACATAAATAAAAAGAATTTTTTTTTGTAGAAACTGAGCCTAAGGAACAATGTTTCAATCCATCCTTTTTAAAGATAAACCATCTTGTTACTAGAAAATTGCATCTCTTGGACACTTTGTCCTTCAGTATTAGATAACCTGTAACCATTTCCCAAAACGTTTTCTGTGATACAGGAGCCCACTAAGATGCTTCAAACAGGACTGTGGTCAGTTTTGGAAAGCAATTTTTTTATTGTTCTTTCAAGGTTTAGAAAAGATATTAGCATATCATAAACTGAGAAGTCTTTAATTAAAAAAGCCACCCCTAGCCAGCCTTTCCTAAAGTCATTATTTAAAAAAACTTAGGGGTGCCTAGGTGGCTCAGTCACCTAGGTGTCGGACTCTTGGTTTCGGCTCAGGTCATGATCTCACAGTTTCATGGGTTCGAGCCCCACATTGGGCTCTGTGCTGACAGTGCAGAGCCTGCTTGGGATTATGTCTCCCTCGCCCCCTGCCCCTCCCCCACTCACGCTGTCTCTCTCAAAAATACACTTGAAAAACTTTAACGTGTAAAACACCTTCGAGAAATGTTGGATAGCCCATTGCTCATCTTGTCCCCTCCCCCCGCCCGCCCCAGGCGCTGAGGAACTTAGAACTACATTTAATTCTCAGTTATGGTCATTATGCTAATTATGTTGACCTGAGCATCTTCTAGGATTTTCAGTCTCTGACAGCCTTATTCACCGTGGGTCTTAATTCTGTTTGTAGAAAGTACTTGTGACATTTGAAGGGTAAATGTATAAAGAGATATTGAAAAATGTGAAAAAATAGCCACAAATTTCTCAGACACTTGAAAGAGCATTTCATCCATCACAAATAAATATAGCAAATCTTTAAGAAATGAACACGTTGACATCTTGATGTATTTATAGGAAACTGAGACGGGCTTTGTGCTCTTTCCCTTGTAAACTGTTACTTGAGCAGTGCATCCTGCTTACGTCACATTTCTAAATCTGCCTTCCTTTCCCATCCTGACCCCACATGGGAAGTACCATTCGGCCCTTAAGTTAAAACAACACAGAAAAACCGTGCTAAAAAATGGTCAGTGTTTCATCAGGTAGAACACGGTGGGTGCTGAGCTGAGTTGTGGCTTCGCCTCTAAGACGTGGTGCGGGCGAGTCTGAGCGTGGAGGGGTGGGGTGGGGGTGGGGGGCGTTGGTGCAGAACCGCCCGGTGAAGTGATCCTGAGCGAGTGTCCTCTTTTCGTGCCTTCGCTTCCTCATCCCACAGGGCAGTTCTGTGGTTAAGTGAGTTGAGGCGGCAAAGCCTTGGGCTACTGGGCAACGCCCTGGAAGTGAGTCCCTGAGCAGCCGGGTCAGGACGGGCTCTGGGGATCCCAGTCAGGGAGGGGCCCGAGAACCGGGAGGCACCAGTGTGCGGGACCCCGGGTGCTGGTGGTCAGTCCCCGACGACCGACAGGGTGTGCGAGGCCGATCCTGGGGCGAGGGCTGCCCCCAAAGTGCCGTCCAGCTCGTGGGTTCCGCGCGCCGGGTGGATTCTTTTCTTGTGTCCGGTCAGATTGGCGCTCACCCGGAACGCTTTCCCACACTGCTCGCACTCGTAGGGCCTCTCGCCGGTGTGGACGCGCTGGTGCCCGAGCAGGGCCGCGCGCTGGCGGAAAGCTAGGCCGCACTGGCTGCAGGGGTAGGGCCTCTCGCCCGTGTGGATCCGCCTGTGCTGGGTGAGCACGGAGCTCTGGGGGAAGGCCTTCCCGCACACGTCGCAGGCGAACGGCTTCTCCCCGGTGTGGACCCGCTGGTGGGCGGTCAGGTTGGACTTGCCGCTGAAGGCCTTCCCGCACTGGGGGCAGGCGAACGGCTTCTCCCCGGTGTGGACCCGCTGGTGCACGGTGAGGCAGTGCCGGTCCTGGAAGGCCTTTCCGCACAGGCCGCACGGGTACGGCCTGTCCCCGCGGTGTCCCCGCTCGTGGGCGCGGCGCCGGCACTCGTGCCGGAAGGCCCTGCCGCACTCGCCGCACCGGAAGGGCTTCTCCGGGGCGGGGGCCCCCCGGGACCCGGCCGGCCCCGCGCGCGCGTGCACCCCCGCGTGCTTGCGGAGGTCCGAGCGGCGGCGGAAGGCCCGGCCGCACTGGCCGCATGTATACGGGCGCTCAGCTGAGTGCACGCGCGCGTGCTTGGCCAGGTCGGAGCTCCCGCGGAAGGCGCGGCCGCACTGCGCGCAGCCGAACGGCCTCTCCCCGGTGTGGGTCCGGCCGTGCGCGGTCAGGCAGTGCTTGAGGCCGAAGGCCTTCCCGCACACGCCGCACCGGTGCGGCCGCTCCGCGCTGTGGACCAGCCCGTGCCGGCGCAGGCGGCCCCTGCTGCCGAAGGCCTTCCCGCACTGCGCGCACGCGTGCGGCCTGTCCCCGCCGTGCTCCCTCCTGTGCCGGCACGCGGCCGCCCTGCTGCCGAAGGCCTTCCCGCACTGCGCGCAGCCGAAAGGCTTCTGGCCGGTGTGCGTGAGCAGGTGCGCCGCCAGCTGTCCGCCGGTCCTGAAGGCCTTCCCGCACTGGGCGCACGCGTGCGGCCTCTCCCCGGAGTGCACGCGCTGGTGCAGGACGAGGTCCGAGCGGCCGCGGAAGCTCTTCCCGCACTGGGCGCACGGCCGGGGCCCCTGGGCTGGGCGGGCGCTGCGCGCTGCGGGCCGGCCAGTCCCCCCGTCCGCTCCTGGCGACCTCCTCGGGGACCCAGGTCCCGGGACCCAGACCCCTCCGCGCTCCAGGACACGCTTCGCCTCCGGCCCGCGGCGGTCCCCGTTCTCAGGCCGCGTGTGGTCCGCCGACACTGAAAAGAGGAAGCAAACACCGGGGCGAGTGGAGCCGGGTCAGGACCGGGTGATCTGACCGCCAAGGGCTGCGGCGGGTTCGGTAGTGGCAAGTTCCCAAGTACCGCGCTGTTCACATTGAAGAAACCTGATGAAGATCCTTGCACACCTGCTCGCTCCCCAGACTCTCCAGAGAAGCGAGTAGCAAATCCAAACGCTTGCCCACCTCAGGCAGGAGACGCAGCCTTCGACCCTGTCCCTCCCGGACATTGTACAAGTTACCCCCGTGGGGCCTGTCTGCGGTATGACTGCTGCCGGGGTAGGGCGGGGGGGGGGGGGGGCCGGGGGGGCGCCGCCCCCCCCCCGACCCCCCCTCCCTGGACTCCGGGCCTGCTCTCTGGACTCCGGACCGTGCTCCTCGGACTCCTCCCTTGCGTCTGGGCCCGGCTCCCTGGATTCCTCCCTGGACTCTGGGCTAGCGCTCCCTGGACTGCGGGCCTGCGCTACCCGGACTCCTCCCTAGCCTCTGGGCTCGCACTTCTATCCCGAGCCCCAGCCGCTCAGGGGAGGGAAGGCGTGGGCACATGGACTGAGCCACTGGGAAGGAAAGTGGGCCAGGGAGGGAGGGGCGGAGGGACAGAGGCAGGCAGACCCACAGGGGGCTGACATGCCCAAGTAGTACCAGTAGTATGAGTAGTACGATAGTAGGTGTGTGTTTACAGAAGCCGGCAGGGGTTAACTCTTCCTGCTGTCAGTCTTCCATGACCCCCGCCCTGACCTGTGCCCTCTACTTCTAGTGCCGGGTCATCAGGTCATTCCAGGTTGCTCACTGCAGCCCCACCATCTGTGTTCTACTCTGCTTCCAAAATCTTCTTTCAGAAAATAAGGTTTTATCACGCCACTGCGCCGCATAAAATAGTCCGGGGGCGCTCCACAGTGAACCAGACAGACGGGGGTGAAGTCTGCAGCTCTGGAGTGGGAGCACCTGGGCTGAAATCCTGGCCAGACACCTAAGGGAGGTGTTGCACGTGTCTGTGGCCAGACCACCCAGGTGAGTGCTGTGTGCATCCACCTCAGGGCTCAGAGCTGAAGCGTGAGGGGGACAGGGAAAGGAAGGGTCAGAAGCCCAACACGGGGAAGGTCCTCAAGGAAAGCTGGAGGCTTTCTGGGCACTGGAGTAACTGATCCACAGAAAGGAGACGAATTCTTGGAGCCTTTCAGAGGACCACACTGAAAAGGGGCCTGTTAGGGTGCACAGAAGCAATTAATGACAGGATAATTGTCCGATTTGCTGCTGTTTGTTTTCTCTCCATTAGGGTTTTCTAAGTGGACTTCCTCCAGGAGGGTGAGGATGGATGACACAGCACTAAGAACATACTAGAACCAGCTGTCACACGGCACACGGCTGGTGACTGGAGCTTCCCCGTCACTCACCTGGGAAGGAGCAGGTCAGGAACCCCCAGTCCTGCAGGTCCTCAGCGCAGGGCACGGCCCCTTGCTCCAGATGGGAGATGAGGGGTGGCTTAGGGCAGGCAAGGCCTGCTCGTGGAGAAGGGAAGTCAGTGTGCATAGCAGATCACCTCTGTCCCAACACCCGGCCTTGACCCTTCTGCTCACACTGCAGAGGAGAGTGTCAGCAGGGGGGAGAAAAGGGTGTACTTGGGGGGGTCTGCCAAGGTGTAAGCAAGCACCTAGGGATGACCTCAGAAAGGTCACGCTCAGAAGGGCAGAGGAGGAGACCCCAGGAAGCAGTCACTTGGTTGTATTTTCCCCGTTGTGGCTGCGAGGCAAGAGTGAGGGCTCTGACTTTCACTGGGAGGCCTGGAGACGTCAATAGACAGCAAGTAAAGAGTAAGGACAGGAAAAAGGACTAAGCCAAGCACGGGGTGTCCTCACCAGCCGACAGCATGTTGCCATAGTTCTCCAGCATCACGTCAGTGTACAGGTGCCTCTGGGCGCGGGTCAGACACTGCCACTCTCCGCTACTGAAGCACACGGCCACATCCTCAAACGTCACCGCGTCCTGCAAGGATATGCTCCCGCTGACCCGGAGGAAACCCCAGTCCCCAGGAAACAGACGCAGAAGAAGGGATTCTCAGGAGGTTTCTAGAAATGAAAGGTGGTTACTGTTCCACATATATTTGGGGTTGCGGTGGAAGGGGGCATAGGCCGTGCACCGCGAAAATCATGACGGGGAACAATCCGCGAATGGTGTGGCATCCAACAAAATGTTCCTTGTGAGTGGAATGCCTGGATTGGGGGGTGGGGGTGGGTCAGGGAGCGAGTGAAAACGAGGCCGTATTCAGGACGTGGTGCTGTATTTCCAGGAAGGATGGAGGGGCCTCAGCTTGCCTGGGCCCCACTCACCGGTGTGGTGTTTGCTCCTGGCCGGTCTCCGTGGCTTCCGTCATTGGCAAAGGCAGGATGCTGAGGAGCCCGCAGGGCTGAGGGAAGAGAAATGGGTCAACCTGGCACGGTATTGACGAGACCCTGTGCTTTCCTCCTCTTCCCTAACGTGCAAGGCTCAGGCCACACCTTCCCCTCATTTTTCCAGCCTGTTTCCAGTTTGGGCAGCAGGCCATGGCACACAGCCATGCTGACGGTAAATGCTTGCTCTCCCTCACCTACGACGTGGTTTTCTGTGGTCACTGTTCATCCTAGAATAACCTCGCCTGTCCCCAAGCCCACATCACTGACTCCTGGCTGGTTCGATGACCTTCTTCCAGGATCTGAGTGTTGAGGTCACTTCCTCCAGAAGGACTAGGGACGGGGACGGATGGGGATTGGCCCACAGCTTGTTCCTTCAGGTAACTTACTAGCTGGCCTACCTCGGGCCATTTTCCCTTGTTCTTATCAGAGAAGCAGCACGTGTCCCGACTCTGAGTCTCCCGTTAGCTCCCGGCACGGAGCCACCGTCCCCTCACCGTGCTGCAGTGCACGCAGTGTGCGCAGCATGTGGTGTCCGGGTGTCTGGGGCAGCCCGTAGGGCACTTCGGCCCTCCACCTCGGCCGGCCCACACAGCTGGCTAGGGAGCCCTAATTCACTCCTCAGGGACCAGCTCCACCTTTCCTTAGCTTGTGTTTGCAGCGACTAACTTTTCTAGAAAGTTCTTCAACACATCCCCAATCTGAGTCTGAGCAGTCTCTTTCAGAAGATACCAGGGAGATTGGTCACCAACTGATAAGACTCTAGGATCACCTTGTGGACTTAGGTCCCCAAAATTTCATTCCAATTTTACCAAAACTTCAATTTAGGAGGAAACTGGTTTCTTCCCAGAGAAATTTCCCAAGAACATTGTTCTTTGGTTTAGACCTGGGCTGTGTCTCAGTCCTCATGGTTGCTGCTCTCTTGTTCCATGTCTCACCTACAAGCCCACGCATTCTGTGACTGTTGGTCGCACATGGTCCCACACCCATTGGGCTCACAGCAGAGGCAGGTCTGCTCTGCAAGGATCCTCATGACATCAAAAATGTAACCTCCCAGCTCGGTTTTTTGTTCAATCCACATTTTATTTACTTTCTTCTTTTTTTTAATGTTTATTTTTGAGAGACAGAGAGAGAGATTGGACGTGAATGGGGGAGGGGCAGAGAGGATCTGAAGCAGGCTCTAGGCTCTGAGCTGTCAGCACAGAGTCCGACTTGGGGCTCAAACCCATGACCTGTGAGATCATGACCTGAGCTGGAGTCAGACACTTAACCGACTGAGCCACCCAGGTGCCCCTCAATCCACATTTTATTGTGAATGTTTTCAAATATACAGAAAAGGTGAAAGAACTGTTTGGTAAACATCCACATACTCCCCACTCATGTTCCACAATTAATGTTTGCAATAAACCTCTGTCTGTCTAACTAGCCCTGTCTCTACTAATCCACTCGTCTTTGCTGAGTTTCAAAGTAATGAAGACATGAGCAACTTTACCCCAAAACACTTTCTCCCATGTATCATTAACTGGGGTTCAGTATGTGTTTACATTCTTGTTTTTGAGTAAATTTACATACACGTTTATATACACATACATACACAAGTCGTAAGTGTACCATTGGCTGAGTTTTGACAAAGCACAGCCCTATTTGGCCCAAAGTCCCCTCCAGAAACGTCCCCGTTGGATTTTGACTATATCTTCTTCACAGATTGGGATAGTCATTAAGTCATAGTGGTTCTTCTTTTAAAAAAGTGTTCATCATGCTATTTTTTTTTTTTAAGTAGATTCCGTGCCCCATGGGAGGCTTGAACTCACGACCCTGAGTCCAAGTCATGTGCTGCACCAACTGGGCCAGCCAGGTGCCCCCAAAATTTTTTGAACTGTGGCACAGAATATGTGACAAAATTTACCATCTTAAGCGTTCTTAAGTGTATGGTTCAGCAGTGTTGAAAACACACAATGTGAGTCATCTCCACAACTTTTTCATCCTGCAAAACTTAAACTCTCTATGCATCACACAACCTGCCTGTGTCTCTCCCTCCCCAGTCCCTGGTCACCACAGTGATTCTTAGGCTTTATTTTTTAGCTTTAGGTTTTGTAAGGTCAGTTTCTGCCCTCAAGTTAAAAATGAATCTGGGACACAGGCTGTGTGCTCACGACATGAAACTACCTTGGTCAGCTCAGGCTGCCCTAACAAAATACCCCAGGCTGGCTGGCTCACTTCTCTCAGTTCTGGAGGCTGGACGTTCAGATCCAGGTGTCGGCCCCTCCTGGCTTCCGTCCCTCTCCTCTCACATGGGAGAGACAGAGTTCTGGGCCCCTCCTCATATAAGGACACTACTCTTCATTGCCATCCTTATGACTTCATCTAAACCTCATTTCTTCCCAAGGCCCCACCCACCTGTCAATATCATCACACAGGGGTTCAGGAACATGTGCATTTTGAGGGGACACGTTCAGTCCATAACAAAACTATTTGTTAAAGCTGGGCACAGATAGTATCTGGGATGAGACTGATTCATTTATGATTCCTTATACAGTAGAAATGTCAGGATTTCTCCTTTGGAAGTGCCAATAACATACTTTTTTTTCCGTTGTAGACAATAAATACTAAAAGCCTACTTTTGAGGTTCCTGGTGCCTCGTCCTCTGTCCAAAGGTCGGTGCCATTCAGGGTCTGCCTGTAGGACTCCAGAATTGCTAAACGCCAGGCCCTGGGTTTACTTCCAGCAGCCACGTCTATACAGTCTTGTCCACCTTCCTCTGCACATGTCCCATCAAAGAGCATTTCTAAACCCAGCCTCGCATTTTCCCAAAGCTTCACGACAAGACCTTTGCTCCTTCTTGGCCAGTTGTTTCCAGGTACTCATTCTATACCTTTAAAATCTCAGGTTTCCAAAAACTCAAAATTTAAACGTTGGTAAAACTGGTGGGTGGGGTAGGAGTTACTGAATTATTTAAGTTTTATGCACACATATATGCTATTTATCATATGTGTCAAGTTGTACATAAAACAAGTGATTGAATGCATTCCATTTCCTTGATAAACTGCTCTGAAGTACCTTAAAAAACTTTTTTTTAAAGTTTATTTATTTTGAGAGAGACAGAGACAGAAGGGGAGGGGCAGAGAGAGAGGGAGAAAGAGTCCATCCCAAGCAGGCTCCAAAGTACTGTCAGCACAGAGCCCGATGTGGGGCTTGATCCCACAGACCATGAGATCACGCATGACCTGAGCTGAAATCAAGAGTTGGACATTTAACCGACTGAGCCACCCAGGCATCTCCAGCTTTGTAGAGTCTTTTATTATTTTTTCCAAATTTGATTTAAGATGAGGGCAGAAACTGAATAATTTAGTTTCTCTCAATACTGATCCAAGCCTAGTATAAAAAAAATAGAAGGCTTCCAATAAATGCTCAATAAGGAGATTTCCAGGCCCCAGGAAGCACCCTACCCACCATGCCCCTGCTCCGTTTCAGCTGCCAGGGCCCCTGGCACAGCCTCCTGTGCGCCTCACCTCCTTCCTGCAGGAGCTCGGCATCAGGGGCCCGCTGGTGTGGTCCGGAACTCCCGTCTGACAGCATCACCTGTCACAAGGCACAGAAACACTCCGGGAGGTTAGGAGGGAGGGGAAAAAGCTCTGGCCAGCTATGAAGGTTTGTCCGTGGACGTCAACTCCCAGAAATATCAAGAGGGGCGAGGAATTCAGGGACTCGTCCCTGAGGAGAGACAGAAAGGGCATCCCATTACTGTTACTGGAAAGCTTAGGTGGTCGCCAGGCCATCCAGGAAACGCAATACTTCACAGCAGAAAACCTTACTCCCCATTACCCCCCCCTCCCCCCAAGCTGCAGACCCTCCTTTTCTCACCCCCAGCAGCCTTCCCCGGCTTTCTGTGGTCTTCCACCGCTGGCCACGTCGTTCGCTGGCTGGGCGAGGCTCCCGCGGTCAGTTCTGGCCTTGCCCGGACGTCACGGTTTGACGTGGCCTGGGGGACGCCAGCGGCCTTCTGGGACACACGTGTTGGTGGTGCCCGCCAGAGGCCCCCGCAGACCCCCAGGGCAGCTGCTATTGGGCTTCACGCATCAAAACCTGCCCTGGACTCGGGGCCTGTCAGCAGCACTGACCTCGCTGTCATCTCGTACCTTGTTGCCCTGCGTATTCGAGGGCAAGGGACAGGGAGGAAGCTGAACACCGCAAAGAGGGGGAGCCACTGAGGGTTCAGGACGGGAAGGCCAGCTGGGGATGTCGCGTGCCCGGGAATCCAGCCTCCTCCCTTCCCGCCTGGTCCGTATCGCCTCTCGGGGTCTCCCGCCTGTCTCTTCTCAGTACCGCAGTCAGAGAGGCCTGTCCACAACCTGGGCGGCTGAGTTCCGCTCCGCCTAAAACCCCTGGTGTCCAGTGTCCGCCTTACTCATACACAGCGGCGCACAAAGCGGTGTAGTCTACACAGTCCCACGACTCCCCTCCCAGGTCCACCCTCTCCCACCGCAGGGCCTTTGCACTGGCGCTCCGCCCCCCTCGGCCCCCCCCCCCCCCCTCCCAGCTTCCCAAGGTATCCCGAGAAGACACACCCCGGGGCCCTGTGCTCCCCGGATCCCGACGCCGCACTCGCTGCGTCTTCGCCTGCTCAGCAGCTCTTCATCCCGCCGCCACGCGCCGGTCTAGGATGCGCACACCACGTGCCCCGCTAACACCTGAGCTCTGCCCACCGTGCTCGCAGAATCCCCGTCTACACCCGCGCCCGCGGATCAGAGAGTGAATACAGGCAGGGGCGCGGGCGACAAAGACGAGCGCCGGGCGGCTGGGGCCACAGGAGCCAGGGGCGGGGCGGGGCGGGGCAGGTGTGTGTGGGAGAGACTCGCCGACCCGGCCACAACCCTGGGGCCGCCCCTGCGGCGGCTCGAAAGCCCGCCTCTGCGTCCCCGCCCCGCGCGGGGTGGAGGCACCACTCTCCCCGCCCAGGTGTCTCCAGGCGCCCAGAGACCCGGGCACCTGTGCTAACTCCGCTTTCTGGTCCTCCGGAACCACTTCCGGCGACTTTCTAGGAAGCGCCACTCGCTGGTGGGAAGTCGGCTCCGCGTCCCGCGGGGCCCCTCGCGCATGCGTCCTCGAGCCACGCGCGTTCAGAGGCCGCGACCTGGGCGGTGGCCGGCGCGTCCGCACGGCGATGATTTCGCGGGAATTTGGAGACAGAAATAGGTGAAAAAGTCACTTAATTAGGAACCCAAATCACGAGATAAATAATGGAATGCCCTTTTTCAAAACTTAAAAACTTCCTTGTGAAAATTTAAGCCTAGTTGGAAGTTGGGAGAAGGTTGGGAGAAGACTAATGAACCCGAATGGGCTCATCACTCAGACTTAACAATAAATAACATTTGGATTCTGGTTTGGCCTGTTTCCCTGCCGTTTTCCATGCAAAAATATTTTAAAGCAAAACCCAAAGATGCTTTTTCAATTTTGTGCTTTTCAGAATACATTTCTCCCCCAAATTTTAAAATTCTAGTTAGTTAATATACAGTGTAGTATTGGTTTCAGGAGTAGAATTCAGTGATTCATCACTTACATACACACCCAGTGCTCATCACAAGTGCCCTTCTTAATGCCCATCTCCATCTAGCCCATCCCCCACCTCCCTCCGTCAACTCTTTGTTTTCTGTGGCTAAGAGTCTCTTATGGTTTGTTTCCCTCTCTTTCAGAATGCATTTCTTAAAAAATATGGACATTTTCTGACAACTACAATGCCATTATCCCACCTAACAAGTTCCTGGTTTCCACTAAATACTGAGTCCATGCTAAACTTGTCCAAATACATAAAGCATGCTTATTTTTTAATCAAGATCCAAAGTCTACTTGCTTTTTTTTTTTTTTTTTTGGTTCTTTTAATTTTCTTTTAATTTAGATCTAGAATAGTACCTTCTTCCATTTTCTATTCCATGCCCCCTGAACAAATTGGGTATTTGTCCTAAATGTTTCACATGCTGCTGGTTTTGTCTATTTGTATCTTCATTTATTACTCTAGCCTTGTATTTCCTGTTAGCTCTAAAAGTTTGGTTCAAGTTTGGTTTACTTTTATGGGTAAGAATTATTTTTAGGTGGGGCTATGTACTTCTTTTTGCTTTATATTGGGAGGTGTATAATGTCTGACTTGTTCTACACTCTGTGATGCTAAGATTGTTCACTGAGTGCAGCTCTTGATTGTTGTGTCTGTCCATGTGTAGTTCCCTACCAATCTTTCGTTTGGTGGTTTCACCTACCGATCTTTGCCTAAATCAACCATTTCATCAGGGGTGCAGAATTGTGATTTTTCTAAGTCCAGAGGTCTTGTCACATTTATGAACAGAAATTTCTTTAAAAAGAAGGATTTTCTCTCATTAGCCTATCAATTCAGGGTGATTTGATTATTCTGAAATAACCATACAGGCATAAAAATAAATACTTTCTTTTTAATTTAACTGCTAGTATTCAGAGTACATAGTTGCTTGCCCTAGGTGCCATGACCATGTGTTGGCCATCCTTTGAAATGGCTATCAGTGAACCCTTCCAGGATTCTTTTCCTGTGTAGCTCCCGTGCCTATTGTACCAGAACTGGTTTGTGTTACCAGTTGAATATGGCAGAAGTGATGTTATGTTGCTTCTAATGTTTTGTTAAGTTATAAAAGAGACTGTGGCTTCCAGCTTGATCTCTCTCTCCCTCTCTCTCAGATCACTCACTCTGAGGGAGGCCAGCTGTCACATTGTGAGGAGCGGCCCACGTGGTGAGGAAATGAAACCCCCGCCAACAGCCATTTGAATGAGTTTAGAAGTGCATCCTCCAGCCCCCGGTCTAGCCATCAGATGACTACAGCCCAGGTCACAGACTCAAAGCCAACAGCTGAGCTGCTCTCAGATTCCTGATCTGCAGAAACTGTGTGAGGTAATGAACATTTGATGTTTGATTCTGAATTTTGCTGATTGTTTCCTTCGATGTGGAGAAGCTTTTTATTTTGATGAGGTCCCAATAGTTCATTTTTGCTTTTGTTACCCTTGCCTCCAGAGACGTGTTGAGTAAGAAGTTGCTGCGATCGAGCTCAAAGATGTTTTTGCCTGCTTTCTTCTCCAGATTTTGATAGCTTTCTGTCTTATGTATAGGACTTTGATCCATTTTGAGTTTATTTTTGTGTGTGGTTTAAGAAAGTGGTCCAGGTTCATTTTTCTGCACGTGGCTGTCCAGTTTTCCCAGCACCATCTGTAGAAGAAACTGTCTTTATTCCACTGGGTATTCTTTCCTGCTTTGTCAGAGATTAGTTGGCCATACATTTGTGGGTCCATTTCTGGGTTCTCTATTCTGTTCCGTTGATCCGAGTGTCTGTTTTTGTGCCAGTGCCATGATGTCTTGATGATTACAGCTTTGTAGTATAGCTTGAAGTCTGGGATTGTGATGCCTCCTGCTTTGGTTTTCTTTTTCAAGATTGCTTTGGCTATTCAGGGCCTTTTGTGGTTCCATACAAATTTTAGGATTGTTTGGTTTAGTTCTGTGAATAATGCTGGTGTTATTTTGATAGGGATTTCATTGAATATGTAGATTGCTTTGGGTAGTATTGACAGTTTAACATTTGTTCTTCAAATCCATGAGCATGGAATGTTTTTCCATTTTTTTGTGTCTTCTTCAATTTCTTTCATAAGCTTTCTATAGTTTTCAGTGTATAGCTTTTCACCCCTTTGGTTAGGGTTATTCCTAGGCATTTTATGATTTTTGGTGCAATTGCAAATGGGATCAATTCCTTGATTGTCATTTCTGTTGCTTCATTATTGGTGTATAGGAATGCAACTGATTTCTGTGCATTGATTTTGTATCCTGCGACTTTGCTGAATTCATGGATTACTTCTAGCAGTTTTTCGTGGTATATTTTGGGTTTTCCACATAGAGTATCATGTCATCTGCAAACAGTGAAAGTTTGACTTCCTGCTGGCCAATTTGAATGTCTTTTATTCCTTTGTGTTTTCTGATTGCTTAGGCTAAGACTTCCAATACTGTGTTGAATAACAGTGGTGAGAGTGGACAGGCCTGTCATGTTCCTGATCTTAGGGGGAAGCTCTCAGTTTTTCCCCACTGAGGATGATATTAGTGTTGGGTCTTTCATATATGGCTTTTATGATCTTGAGGTATGATTCTTCTATCTCTACTTTCTTGAGGATATTTTTTTTTTATCAAGAAAGGATGCTATATTTTGTCCAATGCTTTCTCTGCATCTGTTGAGAGGATCATGTGGTTCTTGTCCTTTCTTTTATTGATGTCATATATCACATTAATTGTTTTGTGGGTATTGAACCAGCCCGGTATTCCAGATATAAATCCCACTTGGTCGTGGTGAATAATTCTTTTAATGTATTGTTGGATCTGGTTGGCTACTATCTTGTTTAGGATTTTTGTATCCATATTCATCACGGAAATTGGTCTGTAGTTCTCCTTTTTAGTGGGGTCTTTGTATAGTTTTGGAATCAAGATAATGCTGGCTTTGTAGAATTAGTTTGGAAGTTTTCCTTCCATTTCTATTTTTTGGAATAGCTTCAGAAAAATAGGTGTTAACTATTTAAATGTTTGGTAGAATTCCCCTGGAAAGCCATCCAACCCTGGACTCTTGTTTGTTGGGAGATTTTTGATTACTAATTTAATTTCTTTACTGGTTATGGGTCTGTTCACATTTCCTATTTCTTCTTGTTTCAGTTTTGGTAGTTTGTATGTTTCTAGGAATTTGTCCATTTCTTCCAGATTGCTCATTTTATTGGCGTATAATTGTTCATAATATTCTCTTATTATTGTTTGTATTTCTGCTGTGTTGGTTGTGATCTCTCTTCTTTCATTCTTGATTTTATTTGGGTCATTTCCCTTTTCTTTTTGATCAAACTGGCTAGGGGTTTATCAATTTAGTTAATTCTTTTTTTTTTAATTTTTTTTAACACTTATTTATTATCAAGAGACAGAGAGACACAGAGCATGAGCAGGGGAGGCAGAGAGAGAGGGAGACACGGAATCCAAAGCAGGCTCCAGGCTCTGAGCTGTCAGCACAGAGCCCAATGCGGGGCTTGAACTCACGGACAGTGAGATCATGACCTGAGCTGAAGTCGGTCGCCCAACCAACTGAGCCGCCCAGGCGCCCCAATTTTGTTAATTCTTTAAAAAAACCAGCTTCTGGTTTCATTGATCTGTTCTACTGTTTTGTTTTGTTTTGTTTTTTTTTTTGGTTTCAGTAGCATTTATTTCTTCTCTAATCTTTATTATTTCTTGTCTTCTGATGGTTTTGGAGTTTGTTTGCTGTTTTTTTTTTCCAGCTCTTTAAGGCATAAGGTTAGGTTGTGTATCTGAGATCTTTATTTCTTCTTTAGGAAGGCCTGGATTGCTATATACTTTCCTCTTATGAGCACCTTTCCTGTGTCCAGGAAGTTTTGTGTTGTGGTGTTATCATTTTCATTGGATTCCATGACCTTTTAAATTTTTTTTAACATTTATTTATTTTTGAGACAGAGAGAGACAGAGCATGAATGGGGAAGGGGCAGAGAGAGTGGGAGACACAGAATTGGAAGCAGGCTCCAGGCTCTGAGCCATCAGCCCAGAGCCCGACACGGGGCTCGAACTCACGGACCGTGAGATCGTGACCTGAGCTGAAGTCGGACACTTAACCAACTGAGCCAGCCAGGTGCCCCATAAATTTCCTCTTTAACTTCGTGGATAGCCCATTCATTCTTTAGTTGGATGGTCTTTAGTCTCCAAGTATTTGTTACCTTTCCAATTTTTTTCTTGTGGTTGATTTTGATTTTCTTAACGTTGTGGTCTGAAAATATGCATGGTATGATCTCTATATTTTTGTACTTGTTGAGGGCTGATTTATGTCCCAGTATGTGATCTATTGTGGAGAATGTTCCATGTGCACTGGAGAAGAATGTGTACTCTGCTGCTTTAGGGTGAAATGTTCTGAATATATCTGTGAAGTCCATCTGGTTCAGAGTGTCATTCAAAGCCATTGTTTCCTTGTTGGTATTCTGTTTAGATGATCTGTCCATTGTTGTAAGTGGGGTGTTGAAGTCCCCTATGATTATGGTATTATTATCGATGAGTTTCTTTATGTTTGTTATTAATTGATTTATATATTTGGGTACTTCCACTTTTGGAGCATAAATGTTTACAATTGTTAGATCTTGGTGGATAGACCTCTTAATTACGATATAATGCCCTTCTTCATCTCTTGTTACAGTCTTTATTTTAAAATCTAGGCTGTCTGACATAAGTATAACTATGCCAACTTTCTTTTGGTGACCATTAGCATGATAGATGGTTCTCCATCCTATTACTTTCAATCTTAAGGTGTCTTTAGGTCTACAATAAGTCTCTTGTAGACAGAATATAGGTGGATCTTGTTTTCTTATCCATTCTGTTACCATATGTCTTTTGATTGGAGCATTTAGTACATTGAAATTTAGAGTGAGTACTGAGAAATATGAATTTATTGCCATTATGTTGCCTGTAGAGTTTGAGTTTTTGGTGGTATTTTCTGGTCCTTTCTAGGCTTTGTTGCTTTTTTTTTCTTTGTGTATTTTCTCCTCTCAGAGAGTCCCCCTTAAAATTTCTTGCAGGGATGGTTTAGTGGTCACAGACTCCTTTAATTTTTGTTTGTATTTGAAACTTTTTATCTCTCCTTCCATTTTGAATGACAGGCTTGCTGGATAAAGAATTCTTGGCTGCATATTTTTCTGATTCAGCACATTGAATATATCCTGCCACTCTTTTCTGGCCAGCCAAGTTTCTGTGGATAGGTCTGCTGCAAACCTGATCTGTCTTCCCTTGTAAGTTAAGGACTCTTTTCCCCTTGGCTGCTTTCATGATTCTTTCCTTACCTGAGTATTTTGTGAATTTTATTGTGATATGCCTTGTTGATGGTTGGTTTTTTTTGTTAAATCTAATGGGAATTCTCCGTGATTCCTGGATTTTGATGTCTGTGTTTTTCCTCAGGTTAGGAAAGTTTTTTGCTATGTATGCCCACATAAACCTTCTATACCTTTTCTCTCTCTTCATCATCTGGGACCCCTATGATTCTGATGTTGTTCCTTTTAATGAGTCACTGATTTCTCTAATTCTTATATCATGCTCTTTTGCCTTAGTCTCCCTCTGTTTTTCTGCTTCATTATTCTCCATAAGTTAGTGCTCTATATCACTGATTTGCTGCTCTGCCTCATCCATCCTTGCCGCTGTGGCATCCATTCGAGATTGCAGCTCAGTTATAGTATTTTTAATTTCATCCTGACTAGGTTTTACTTCTTTTATCTCTGCAGAAAGGAATTCTAATCTATTTTCAATTCTAGCTAGTTCGTGATTCTAAATTCTGATTCAGAACATCTTGCTGCTGTCTGTGATGAGTCCCTGGCTGTCACTTCTTTCTGTTCTTTCTTTTGTGGTGGATCCCTTCGTTTCATCATTTTGAAAGAGGAAAAGGAATTACTAAAGTAAAAAAAAATAAAAAATTAAAAACAACACAAAAAAATGAAATAAATGATGCTAGATTGTAGGTGTATTTGGGTCTGGTTGTTGAAAGAAGCTTGTTACAATAGAGAAAAAAGGGAAAGAAAGGAAAAGAAAAAAGGGAAAACATTTGAAAATTTGAAAAAATGAATACTATAATTAGAATAAAATGAAATCATAAAAGTAGAATAAAATTTTAAAAGCTTAGAAAAAGGTGAAAAAATATGGTAAAAAATGAAAGAAAAATCTTTTTTGTTAAATAAAAATAAAAATAAATTTGTTCTTTTTCAATAATCAAGAATAAGAAAGGAAAAGAAAAAGGAAACAAAAGTGAATAGATGGACCAGTGAACAGACTGAAAGATGATTGAGATTACATCCTGTTTTCCCTAGTTGTCAAACTATGAAGCAATTTAT